CTTTTCATGATTTAATTGAAATATTTTAGAGATGCTTGTTGTTTGGAAATAGATAATGTAGTAATGACTATCAAAGGTATTGAATAATTAATTCTTGAAATAATTGATCATTTTTGTTGTTTTCTTCTTTTGGTAAATTTTGGAGATTAATCAAAGATTTAAACCAACATATAGCAATAATAAGAGGATGAGTAATGCATGAATAAAAGAATTAATGTTAAACAATATATACAGCCAATAAACTAATTCACCAAACATTATTAAGGACAAATGGATTATTTAATTTTATTAAGTTTTCATAATTTTAAATTTATATTTTAGAACTAAATAAACGAGTATCAGTTTCTATTTTAGTCTAAATTGTATTTTTATTTTTATTGAGATTTTAGTTTTTTTTAAATTAAAAACTTCTAATTGATTATAAAAATCCTTTGTAAAATGACCTGATAAATCTTAAATCAATTTTAATGAGAAAAAATAAAATTTACTTAAACATCCATCTATTGTATTTTCATTTTGGACTTTTCTTTTGAATTTCTTAAAAATTAAGAGATTGATTTGAGTTTACAAGAATCAAAATAGTCTGATAATTACTAAAATTCAATACTGCATACAGGTAAATCCGATCACTCTCATTGCGAATCGAATCTAATTCAATTATTAAGTAATAATATATAGTATTATAAGAAAAAGTTATTTGAAATATGTAAGTTTCATCAGAATAATAGTTAACAAAGATAATTATTTAAGAATCATTTATTTATCAAAATTCATTAAAGGAATATTGAATTTAACAAAAAGACTAAAGTGATTGTTATTTGAAATTGATAATTGTTATACAAAAAAATTCAATAAATAAATTCTAACTACATAATAATTAATGAATCTATTAAATTCATAAGGTAAAGATATTTTTCTTTCCTTTTTTAATTACTATCTATCAGCATTTTATCATCGTTAACTATAATTACAATTATGAATAAAATTTAATAAATTAATAGATATTAATTTTTCATTTAAATACTTAATTTAATATCTCTACTTTACATCTACTATTTAAATGTACACATGGATACAAATCTTTGGATGTATCAATATTGAGAGTCTAATAATAATAAATAGAAATTGATACAAATGATTGATTTGTGGATTACTTTGTCCATTTCACGTACTTCTTTTGAATATCCACTTCAACAATTATAATATCATTTGTTGAAAATGGAAATGCTATTTATTGTGTATGTTTATCTTATTAATCATGATTATAACATTAACCATTATAATAAATATTATATGTTCTATTTTGATTCTATTAATATCATAAATATACCCTTATCCAATATCATAACAATTACCATAATTCCTACTCTATACAATATCCCTAAAACCAATTCCTATCATAATGCTAGATATTTCAATAATTTTAATAGCAAATTAGATCAGACCATTCTTAGGGATCATTTAATCACACATACAACATTACCAACCATATTAATTTGTTTCAATAACTTTTCCATTTTAAGTAATTGAACAATTACTATTCTTATAAATTGTTGAGAATGTCAGTGATTAAGAGAATTACCAATCCTACTTTTAATAAAAGATTTACTTATACCATAGTTTATTTTAATTATTTCAACATTTCCTCATTCTTCTCATTTTACTTTTAGCACATCTATAATGCTCCTTCCTTCTCTTTAACTATAATTTCAAATTATGTTTCTATTAAGAGATTGAATACTATTTAATATTACTTTATTATTCAAGTTCTTTTATTTTAATTGATTAACTTTCATATTGTCTCTTCAAATCTGACATTAGTTTTATTTATTCTGCATCATTTTTCTTAAGGTCTTTAATAACTTATTGATTCCCTAAATTAATCTTTTCACTTTCTGTGAGTTGATTTTACAGTGATTCCTTCTCTTGTTTGTGCAACTTCAATTCAGCTTCAATTTAATCAAACTAAGTGAATTTTTGCATAAGAGATGAATCTTTTTCAAACTTAGATATATATTGTTTAAACTTATCAATATTAATAGAGTTTTTACTTGTTATAATTAGATATCTTTGAATTCATTTGACAAACTACTTATTGTTTGTATAATTAAATCATATTAATTTAAGGCCTCATTTAAGACATCCTAATATAATTTGAAATGTTGTAATTATAAGTTAAGTTGCTTCATCTATACATGATTTGAAATTGTATTGTCATCTTGTAAAATGTCATTTTTCTATTCATTAAAAATATTGAAACTTGATTCCTTGAAGATTTTATTCATCTTTTCAGTTGCAAGTAAATCATTTTACAATAATTTTCCAAAATTAGTTGATATAAATTCCAGTTAATTAAGGTCTTCTTTTTGAATATTTAATTGCTTTTCAGCCAAAGCTTA